AGTGAACTTAGCCAAGAGTCAGGAATTATGGAAGTTGAAGTCCAAAGCATCTGGATGACTAAAGGTTGGGAACTGCTGTACCAGACTTGGGTGTATGTCACATGCTTTGCCCAGTACCTCCTAAATTCCAGGTGTAGTGGAGGAGGATGCTGTCCATTTTGTAGTGCTGATGTAAGGTTTAACTGCAGGTCCAGCCAGCTTCTGTACTTTAAATGCGGGAAAGAATGCCATCTTGTCATTTACCCCAGACAGCAAAATATTTGGGGCCAGTCCTGTAAAAGGAACAAAGGGCCATTGGAATTACATCTTATAATTGCTTTTGAGCTGATAGATTGCTGTTCTAGCTCTATACAGGAGACTTTTATGATGTTTTACTATGAGTATATTTATTGTGTCTAATATGATCTGGCACAGCAATTCTTAACTTGTGGTCCACAGATCCCTGGGGGGCCACAATGCTCTCACAGGGGGTTCATGAAGGCTTGAAGAAATGTTCTGAGCTTTTATAGATAGACAGATAAATGGATGGACACACAGACAGATGGGCAGTAATACATTGATTTCAAAGAGCAGGAGTCTTTTGCCAGTGATAGATGCTATTTGTACAAAGGTTCATTACAATATCTCAAACCGTTCAAAGGTTATTGGAATATAAACATTTCTCGCACAATTCAGAAGTTACTTGAATGACACTTAGAAAGACAAAAGATGGACAAATGGACAATCGCACACTGACCATAATGAATAGGCTTCCTCTGGAGATCATAGGCATTCTCCATACCAAATTTCAAGCAGTTCAAGGGTTATGAGATTGACAGCTGGATACACGGACAGGCATGGTTGAAAGCCATAGTGGCCTTTCCTTTCAGGAGCCACTAAAAGAAAACAAAGAATGAAACCTTGATTTCTCTCATTTGTTTGTGTAAAGCTTGGCTTTTCTAAACTGCCGCCTCCATTAAAAACATATAAAAATAAAATCTGGTTATGAAAATAATTGTTTGATAGAAAAAAAAATGTATTCAGCACTTGCTACTTCTGCATGTGGTGAGGACATGCAAGTGAGTGATGCTGAGTAGCTAAGAGAAAACCCATGATATGTCCTGCTACCATACATACAGCCAGAAGTGGCCTTCACAGTTGCGCCAATGTTGTGTTGTCCATGTTGTACCTTATTGCTTCCCAGGATTCTGTAGTCTGTTGAGATGTTCTCAAAGAAATTCATGTATAAAAGGAAGACCATGTTCGCAAGAAGAAAGAGTTAGAGTGAATTAGTGTGAGTGAATGTTTGGACATACTTCCGAGTGATAACTTTGCATCATTGAAAATCATTGTGCTTCTTCTTTGATTTCTGAAAATAAAAGCATTTGGTTGGGCAAAGTGACATTTCAATGATACTGCGGTGAATTTTGTAACAATACCTTTTGGCTGAGCCTCAGGATGGATCGCTGGCTGCATTTGAAACTGATGATGCTTGAAGAGGGTGCATCCTGTTCAAAGCAAAATGTAGGTTCTTCCAATCATCTTCCAAAGTTCTGCTGTCATAGCAAGGAATATCTGTCAATTGACTTTGCAGAAGACTAGCAACTACCACAACGTTTGTTATGCTAAGCTGTATTATCCAATGAAGCCATGAAACCACCAAAACTGTAAAGTCATTTTGATACTAAAAATTAAAAAAATGCCACAAAAGCATCATCCCCCCCCCAACAAAAAGTAAAGACCAGGGATTTTGGAAAAGTAAGAAAATAGTAAACAAACTATGCCTAGCAAAGATATGGCCATGAAAACCTTCTTCTTCTGCTACCTTATAAAGTTTACTGGATATGACAAGGTGAAGTTTTGTCTCATTTTTGGGTACTGAGGGATGGGATAAGATTATTCCTCATGGAGCTGCAATTTCACCTAACTGACCATTTGACAGATTTATCCTGGTTAGAAAAAATTAGCATATCTAGGATTTATCCTGGTTAATAAAACTAGCATATCTAGCAAATATCTTTACCCATTTAAAGATGTTCAACTTAAATCTTCAAGGAGACAAAGTTACAATTTTTCAAGCTGAAGACATTATCAAAGCAATGATGAAAAGGTTGGAATTATGGCTTTATCGCCTATCGAACTGAAATGATGAGACATCCCTCCCCCCCCCCCCAAAAAAAATTGCAGCATCGTTTCTGTAAACATTTTCCTGTTAGTCATGCAAGCAAAAATTGCATTAGAGATCCATTTTCAGTTAACATATATGAACTCAAGGAGCTCACAGCAGCAGAGGAAGACAAGGTCAAAGAAATATCCACAGATGGTGCTCTGAAACTGCAGTTCAAGGAACAATCCCTTCCAAATTTCTGGGCTCGCTTACAAGCAGATTTTCCCAAGCAGGCTATGAAAGTACTGATGCCTTTTCTAATGACATGCTTGTGTGACAAATCATTCTCTGTTCTTGTTTAGCTTAAAAATAAGTATAGAAACCATCTGAAAAAAATTTGAGAACTCAAAATACAAGTTTCAGCTATTAAGCCTGATATAAACAAGGCATGTAAGTGAGATGCAGCACCAGCCTTTTTATGAACTAATTCATTAAAATTAACAAGTAGTATTAGTTCATGATTTGGTGTCCAGGTGCTGTTTTTGTTATTTCAAATGTATATGGAATCATTCCAATAAAAATACTGTAACAGGAGTGTGTGCATTTACTGATTCTCCCTTCTGTACAAATTGTTAAGTACCTTTAAATAAATATTTGATGCACTTTAGGGTTTTAAATCTTGAATTAAGGCTTGTGGTCTGTAGCAACAAAATATATTTAAAGGGGTTTCATAGTAAAGAAAAGGTTAAGAACTATTAGGACCTGTCACATCAATGTTTGTTCCCTTACACATTAAAGGAGGGAACATTTTCTATGTATGTGTATCTATATTTACACCAATTTTTATATGAGAAACACCACAATCCTATTTCTCCAGTCTTTTTGGTGATGCCCAGAGGATTGTTGCATCTCAGCAATGAGAAGGATGACTGAATATAGCTTGAATTTATGGCATGTTCCACTTTGTGCCTACTCATATATAAGTTTTAAAAGATTTCATGGCTCTTACTCAGGTAACTTCGTTTAGGACTTTAGTCCTAATCTATTAGATGAACCTGTCCCTTAACTCTTCATTGATTTCCCCAATAATAACCAAATAACTTTGATGAAAACAAGAAAGAAGCTTCTTTACTTTGTTTTTAGATACTGCAACAGGTGCTATTGTAGCTTAACCATTTCTTCCTTTGGAAATCAAAGACGGAAACGCTACCTCTTAAGATGATATTTGTTTCTGCATTTTTTAAAATAAAAAAGTAAAATTAAATATAATGAATATTGAGTTATCCGATTAGTTGCTCTGATTAACCGAGAAAATATTGCAACTAGCTTTGAACAGTTCTTGCAAAATGTGAAGGTTAAGATCTCAGGGGCAAACTACACATTACACCAAATAGGATTTTTTAAAAAGGACATACAAAACTGATCACATATCCCCCCCCCCCCATATCAGTGGGTATTGGGGTTTGGGAGATAAATACACGGAGATGTGCCTGGGAGCTGTGTAAGGGCTGTTGCTTTGCCTAGTAAAACAATTGCACAAGAGGCCTTGGATACCTCCTTATCCAAGACTGGAAAAAGCAATTATGGTTATAGAACTAAGGGTTATGCTACCATAATGCTCTAAGGGATTTCCTACCAATAAAATGACCGTTCCTTCTTCACTTGTGGGGAACTTTTTTTAGATAACTAAAATATTGTTGAATCACTTCACTTAACAGATTAATAATTGCTGGAGTGTGCGATGTTATGCCTGTGCATTTTGGAGTAAGTCCTTTACAGCTCAGAAGGACTCCTCTCAGAGTACATATGGATATGGTTGAGCAAGAAAAATTGCAGCCCTAAATATCATGAAAGGATATTGGGTGGAAGTTGCACAAACAACCCAAAGAAATAATAAGGGGGAACACACCCATCAAATGTAAAAGTCATTTTATTAGCTGATGTAAAATAAAGCTGGGGGAAGCTGGAAAAAACTGGAGGGAACTGGAATGGTATTATTAAATAATTAGAAATATAGAGGAATGGCTACAAGCCACTTGTGAAGGAGGGGTGTGGAAAGACCTGGAATACTGAGCTAATGTGTGAGATAACAGCTTTTAAGCAAATGTACTTTCTGGGTCAAAACAGGCAACATGGAAAATTGGCAGTGTTGTATTTGTTTTGGAAAAGAACTGAATCGGAAGAAACAATACAATTCAAACTGTTGTGAGAATTTATGTAGTGATGGCATCAATGCAAGAGTAAACTTTTTACATTTCTAAGTTGTTTCTTCCCCTTGTGCTGCTCTTTTTAATGTGTATGTTAATGCTAGACTCTGTTTATCTTCATGCAGCAAATATTTGTTTTGTCTTACAAATATGTAAAGCAAAACTGGGAAAAAAATGAGAATGGCGAAAGCAATTAGCTATGCTATCATCCAATAAAAAATGTGTCCCTCCAGGTTTTGTTGGACTGTAAGATCTGTCAATCCTAGCTGGCTCAGTCAATGTAGAAGAATGCTGGGAGCTGCAATCCAACAATGACTGCTGGGAGAGATGTTTCCTGTCTCTTTTGTAATGAATGGCCAAATATTTTGGAACTTGTGATGTGCCTCCAAGATATTTTTGACTTATGGTGACCCTAAGGTGATTATGTAGAAATGTGGATTTTAATTGTATATTGTATTTTATTGTTGTTCTTATTTATTTGTTGTAACCTGCCTCAATCCTCAGGGAGAGGCAGGCCATAAATACAATTTATTATTATTATCATCATCATCATCATTATCATCTTCATCATCATCATCATCATCATCTCAGAGTTTTCTTGGAGCAATTTCCAGCTGGCAAGGTTGCTTATTCAGAGGGGGTTAGCCACTGCCATCCTCTGAGGCTGAGACAGTGTTACTTGCCCAACATCACCCAGTGGGTTTTCATGTTTGAGCGGGGAATTGAACCCTGGTCTCCATAGCTGTAGTCCAGCACTCAAACCACTATGCCACACTGGCTCTCATTGGTTTTACCCAAGTATGGGATTTTGAGTGTTTCTTAAAATGGAATGTGAAAAATGATTCTTCTTGAATTTAAACAGAGCTTATATTTGGTCTCCATTCTGGAGATGACATTACATTTCCCTTGCCTCTTCGAATGACTCTCCTTGTCCCACTCAGCTTCATGGTCTTTGGTAAATCCCACTTTCAGTGAGATGTCCAGTTCTGCAATGCAGGGGCAGTTGGTTCAGAATGGCTTTGTCTCTTTAGATTTATCAACTTGGGCAGAGAAGAAGGACAGTGGAGATCTCTGATGGAAGACCATGAACTTTTCTTGTCAACATTTTTTCTCCTTGAACTCAATCCAAAAATTCTTCCCACAGCACAAAATGTTTCTGCTGCAAGGGGTTGTTTCGATGATGCAAATTTACCCTTTTAGTTCACTGCTTTCGTAATCCTTGTCCATAAGGGTTTCTTATAAAAGCCAAGGCAATTGTAGATATCATGCATTTCGTGCTGTTTGCTCTAGATGTGGTACACAGCATTAACAGATAACATCTAGGGTCAACCTATGGAAGTGCAAAATGCAATCCCCATTCAGTTCAGTAGGACTCATTCATATAAGAGTGCAGCTTGAGTACACAAACACTATATTTAAAATATATTGGTTATATATTACTGCCTTGAATCCCAAGCTGGGGAAAAAGGCTGGATATAATTTAAATATCAAACAAGCATAACAAACAAACAAACATTTTTCAAATTAAAGCAAAGTTCTAGCAAAGCAGATCCCTTTAAAAACAAGTTGGATTCCAGATGTGACAATTTACTCTTATTCTAGGGCCTCATCTACGTTGTAGAATTAATGCAGTTTGACACCACTTTAACTACCATGGATCAATGCTACGTGATCCTGAAATATGTAATTCTGTGAGACATCGATCCTTCTCTGTCAGAGAGCTCTGGCGCCACAACAAACTACTAATCCCAGGATTCCATAGGATGGATCCATGACACTTAATGTGGTGTCAAACTGCATTAATTCTGCCGTGTGGATGCAGCCTTAGTGAACTTTTCCTACATGCCTTGCTTTGAATGGGAAGAGTGGCTTTTAAATTTGCGATGCATTTTTAAATTTAGTAACATAGACTGGGGGGGGGGGTCCCAAATGTATGGAGGTGCCACATGAAACCCATCTGCTGTGTGTTGCCTTCCTTATTGACATGGGGGGGTTGCAGACTGCCAGAAATAGTGCAAATTGAGTTCACTTTTAGGGTTAGGGTTAGGGCAAGGGAATCATGCGAACTGTATTTTATTGTGGCACCAGAGTTCTTTGACAGAGAAGGCTCAATGTCTCAGAAAAAAACCAATTCCCATGATCCCCTAGCACTAACCCTAACCCTAAAAGTGGACTCAATTTGCACTATTTCTGGCAGTCTGCAACCCCCCATGGACTAGCACCAGTTCTGTAGGTTTTCAGACAAGGGTACTTTCCAGATTAGTATGGAGACCCTAGAGCAGGGATGTAACTCTTTACTAAGCTTCTTCCTAAGGAAGCCACAAATAATTTTAGCAATTTTCCTTCCAATGAAAGGAAGACTTCAAAAGCGATCTAGTTTTCAAAGCTTATTTGTAATTTGGAGTTTAGTCTGCACAAAATTTGCACATGCTTTTTTCACACATAAAACAGCATTTTCTGTGCAGGAAATGGCATTTCTGTTCAGGGAACAGCATTTCACAACCTATGATGTATTGGCATAGAAAAATAATATCCCAATGCAAAGACATGATAATTTGTGCAGAGAGGCTGTGTCCTGGGCAGAAAAATCAACAATATGTAAATTTTGCACAGAACAATCCCCCCAATTCCAGCATTTTCTGTGCAGTAAACAGCTCTTTCTGCACAGGGAATAATATTGATGCCTAGAAATATTTTCGGCACAGAAAATGCTGTGCCCTATGGAGAAAATGTGGCTTTCAGCACAAAACAACCATTTGCCAATTTGGCACAGAATGAGTCCCAAACAGTGAAGATTGTCATCAGTCCAGGATTCTTTTTTCCAGGGTTCCTTAGCTCTTGAAAAACATATTTTTGAACACATTTTCCATTTTTTTAAAAACCCAAACCCACATTATTTTCACCCCTACTCTGGGGATGGAGCATGCAGCCTTCTGCATGCAAAGCACATTCGGTGTCAGAGCTATGGAGCAAAATGCCTTTCTTGGTGATCAGCCTCCCTTGCGTTGACCCTGTGGTATCATGTTTGGATTTGTGCCCATCAAAGCACAACTGCTTAGCTTGTCCTTTCTCTTCCCATCAATGGCAAGGGTGGGAGGCATCAAGGCAAAGCTGTTTGGACCTGCTGCAGCATAGGATGGTCAAATTGAGCTCACGTCTCTCCCACAGTTCCCTGCAAGAGCCCACCGACTCCAGCCTTTTCTCCTCCTGAGCTTGCCATGATCTCCCTACTTGTCCTGCTGAGTCAAATGCTTTCATTTGCTGCTCAGGCCCAGCTCTCCTGCGACCAGCTGCTGCTGTGCCATCTGGTGCTGATTAATTTTTTAGTAGTCGGGATGTTTGCAAGGAATCAGTAACTTGGTGTGCTTTGCCTTGTCGTTTGACAAATGATTGATTTGGTCCCTTTTTAAAGAACATTGGATTTCTCTCCCCCATCCTCCCCTTCCCACCACCCAGTTGCCTCCTCCCTCCAGCTAAACCGCTAAAAAATGATAACCCGGAAAGGGAAAGCTGGCAACAAAAGTGGCAGGATTTCCAAGTAGAGTGAGCAGGTTGCGTATGTATGGGTGCGTGCCTGTACCTGGGTGTCTTTTCAGAATAATAATAATAATAATAATAATAATAATAATAATAATAATAATAATAATAATTTATTTTTAACCCACCCCTCTGCTCAGCAACCGGGGTGGCGTACACAAGATTAAAACAGATAACAGTTAAAACACTCCTTCAACCCAATCCCTAACCCTCCCCCCCTTAAAACTAAATTAAACTAATGCAAGATTAAAATAACAAATAGACAACAAAATACATTCCAAAAAAAGCAGCTTTAACAAGGACAAACAGGTCTTGCTGCAGGAAAAAAGTTATGATATATGTAAAAAAAATGTATTATTGTTTACAATGAAGTTGGTGGCGTAGGGAGGAGATAGGAGGAGTCTGTCCAAGAAGACAAACAATTGTTCTGGAAAAGGAAAGCAGACCTTGAAGAAGAGGCATTTTGGATAATCAACAGCCCTTCCAAGTCACCCTCTCCTTACAGTGCAAACTCCCTTCTCTGTCTTCCAGATGTTTTGAACTAAACCACCCATTAGCCTCAGCCAGTATCATTACTGCAAATATTAATGTATAAGTCTAAAAAATTTAGTCCAAAAATTGACCCCAAAACCTAAGTCGACTTATCCATGGGTCAATGTAAGTACTGTACTTTAACTCTTACATAAAAAGGAACTATGCCCTGGTGAAAGGTGAAGTATACTCTGTCCTGGAAGCCCTACTCTCTCATCCATTCAGCCTTTAGGCTGAACACAAACAGTCATGATCCATGCTGGAATTTTGTAAGTTCTTTGACATTGTGGTCCTTTGCTTCATCCTGTTTAGATCCTTTGTTACATGTCCCCACAATTTACCTTTGACGTATCCACGCGTCATATAAAAATCCATAATTTTGGCCCTAAAACCAGCCCTCAACTTATACACGAGGTTGACTTATTGCTATATACAGTGATAGTCAAGGATGATGTAGTCTGAAATGTTTGAATGGAGTTTCAGTTTAGGAGTCAAAAGACCAAATCTCCATCCCATAGCTTTCGATGTTTCATAGGTGGAAACCAGAATCTGTGTGGCCAATAACATCAGAATGTGGTTAAGATGACAGAAGTTATTAATGAGGAAGAACATGCAAGCTAGGAGAGTCTGAAACAGTTTGCTTTTGCCTGAGCCAACTGGGAAAGGCAAGAATCTCCCAATTCCTCTCTCCCAGCTGAGTTAACTAACTGTAAACTACTTTTGTACTTTGTACTTTTGTACTTTGAACTCAGGTTACAGCAACTGAAGTAAGTCAAAGACAAAAGTCAACACGAAATCAAATTAAAATCTATCTATTTATCTCAGACATGTGTGTACGTGTGCAAGATATTTGCAAGCAATTTTTAAAATAACCCCCCTCCCGACTTGCAATGTTTTCACATTGACTTGCCAAAAATAGTTTTCAGCTATCATTTAGAGCTGGAGCCACATTTTCTTTTCTAACCCTCTGTGCATTTTTCTATTCTAAATATAGTATAAAGAGTAGAACAGAAGTCCAGGGGAAATGTTCTGGCTGCAACGAGAGTCTACATTATGCACCATGTTCTTTAAATATTACTTTCAAGGCATTTGGGTGTTTCTCACCCAATCTGTTTCTGTGTTCCTTGACATTCAGGCAGTTTCTTACAATCTAGTCCCTTGTAAATCATTCAGGACAGAGATAAAGAGTGTGTGGTCTTCTAGACAAATGTTGGCCCTGGAGGCTGGTGACTCTGGGATGTGAATCTGCTCAGGGTTGTAGTCCACCCTTTAAAAGAATTGTCCAAGGTGCTGAATATTATTCCTCCAATAAGTGGGGCTTTAGCTGTTGGGCTGAAAGTTCAGTAGTCACTCAATGCAAGGAATTCTAAGATAAGTATCCTCACAACTGCGCTACATAACCAGGACTGAATCTGCATTGCAGAAATAATCCAATCTGACACCACTTTAACTGCCATGGGTCCATGCTATTAAATTCTTGGAAGTGTAGTTTTGTGAGTCATTTAGCCTTCTCTGTCAGAGAGCTTTGGTGCCACAGCAAACTACAGTTCCCAGGATTCCATAGCAATGAATCATGGCAGTTAAAGTGGTGCCAAACTGGATTATTTCTGCAATGTGAAAGCAGCCCAAGTCTCTTCTTGTTTTAAAAGGAAACCAAAGAGACCGTTCCTGGACATAAATTGGCCCAGTGGTGGCAAAAAAAATAGTGAAA